GCATTGAGAGTATGCAAATGCAAGCAATAAACCGGCGATCAATAAAATTGATGAAATCTTTACCTTCTGTAGCTCATGCTCTCTCCACTTCCACTGCTTCTTCATTCCGTTTCATAAAAAAATGAAAAAAAAATAAAAAAAATAAAAAATAAAAAGAATTCCTCTGGGGATTTTCAATTTTTTGAATTTTTGAGTGAAATTCATAAAATAAGACGCTCCAAAATTAATTAAATATGGTAATAAAATAAAATCAGAAAAGATGTATTGGTTGGGAGTTCATGCAGCGGATCTAGGCCAATTTTTCTTGATTGGGAGAAAGAGGACGAGAAGAGCGAGGTTGCTGAAATGCTAGATCTAGGTTTGAGAAAAACCCAGATTTGGGTTTGAGAGAAGAAGAAGAAGGGAGAAGAAAGAGAAAGAAAGAATAAGAAGAAGAAAGAAGAAGGATGAAGAGGGAGGAGGAAAGGAGGAAGAAGATGAAGTTTGAGAGAGAACCCAGATCTGGTTTGCAGAGGTAAGGGAAAAGGAAAGGTAAAGGAGAGAGAAAGTGAAAGAGGAAGAAGAGATAACGTGGATGAAAAAAAATTATTATTTTAAAATTAAATAAAAATACCAACTAATGCCAACTCATAGGCCAACTATGGTTTTTTTTTTTTTCCATGTCATTAGTTAAGCAAAAAAAGTATTGATTTGCTGGCAAGTTAACGTGACACATGTCATTTAACTGACGGAATGACCATTTTGGTACCGAAAATGAAAATTTAAGGATAATTTTAGTATTTTTTAAAGTTAAGGGACAATTTTGATACCAAAATGAAAAATTGAGGGATCAAAATGGTACTTTAACCAAAGGTGTTTAGGCATTGCTGGCATACGTAAGGGAACTTAGTGGCCAGCACGCTCCTTCCTTTTTCCTCTTCTTCCCTTTATATATAAAGAAAAATTACATTAACATAGCATTTAACTAATTAATTAATTAATTATCTTTCTTTAATTCCATCAGGATGAAGGTGAACGGCTTTTACCCTATCAATGGAGGTCCCCCCACCCTTTACCTTTCCATCGCTGTCCTTAAACCCACCAAGTGGTGCTTTTTGACATGTGGAAGACCCAGGCTAGAAATTAAAACAGATGATAATGATGGTAATTATGTAGTGGGAACTCCTTTTAGTGTTTCCATCTTAATCTTTTGATGAGACTTGCCACCTCCACCTTAACATACTCACTCTCCTTGCATTGTTAACTTTTTAAAATTATTTTTTACTTTTTTTTATATATATAATTTTCTTATTGTGTCTCATGATATCTAAAATGTTAAGGTTAAAAATATAATTTTCAATTTTGACCATGTAAAATACTACAATTTGGTTTAGAAAATTATTATAATATTTTTAATGAATTTTTTTATTA